AAAAAAAAAAAAAAAAGTATAGATCTGGGGCTGTCTCCTAGAGATTCTGATGTGGCACATCTGGGGAGGGACCTGGGGACCTGTGTTTTTGTAGAGCTTCCTAAATGACTTGGAAACACAGCCAGGCTTGGGGACTGCTGGTGAATTAGTAGCAGGTCCTCACTGTTTGCAGCCACTGGGTGCTCATTAAGTGAAGAACAACAGCCCGGTAAGGGGTCCACTACGATCATCCTCAAATTAAAAGATAGGGAGAGTGAGGCCCAGAGAGGTTAAGAAGCTTACTCAAAGTCACACAGCTCCATAGTGGCAAAGAGGACTTTGATCATGATCAGAGTCTGTGCTCACATACCGCCTTCACCTACCGCTGCAGCCAGGAAACCTCCCTATTCAGCCTCACAGGAAAATCCTGCATTGCTTACCCTGCCTTGGCTATTACGGCCTCAGCGAATAGAAAATCTCCCAACTGCATCCTGGGAGGCAAAGGTGAAGTGCACATAATATTTCTGTTTGGAATTTTGGTTGCCTGGGGCTACTCTCTGACATGGACACATAACGGAGGGCACGTGACACAGATGGCCAGCGTTGATGCTAGCCCAGGAGACGTCAAGACCACATTCTCACATGCTGACCTTGGAAGCAAAAGGCATCTTCCTTCCTCCTGGGGCAGGAGCTGGCAGGAAAAAGAGGGAGAGCCCTCTTCGTCCCTTGGTTTGTGGGTTATTTTGTTTTGTTATTTTGGGGCGGCTCCAGGATCTTAACACCTTCAGTGCCTGTCACACTATCCCTCTGTTCTCCTAGGGTGACCTTGAGCCGCAAAACTGCTGTCCACTTGGACCAGGGCTGACATCACACGTCCGTCTGCCAGGACCCCTGCGTCCAAACTCCGAGACATGGCGACCAATGGCAGCAAGGTGGCCGATGGGCAGATCTCCACGGAGGTCAGCGAGGTCCCCGTGGCCAATGACAAGCCCAAAACACTGGTGGTCAAGGTGCAGAAAAAGGCGGCGGACCTTCCAGACCGGGACACATGGAAGGGCCGCTTCGACTTCCTCATGTCCTGCGTGGGCTACGCCATCGGGCTGGGCAACGTCTGGAGGTTCCCATATCTCTGCGGGAAAAACGGTGGCGGTAGGTGCTGGCCTGGTGACCTCCTGCTGGGTCTGCACACCACCACCACCCCCGACACACACACACGGAGAGTGTCCTGCTTAGACATTTTCTGGGGTGACCTTGGGGAAATGGGTCCCCTAAAGACTCCAATGGGAGTGCCAGGCCCCACTTATGCTTCTTGTCCTTTTCCAAAGGACTCCCAAAGGGCAGTAGTCCTCTGTTAATGATGCCCAAAAGTTCCCGTCTTCATTCTGCAAAGTGCAGGGCATGGGTCTTGAGTAAAGGACGTCCTCGGGCCTCACTTTGGCTTTGGGTGCTGCTTTTAAGGCAGAATATAATGAAATCTTGGCAGGGACCCCAGAACACCCCGCTGTGATGCTCTCTCTGACCGACCGGGTTTCTCAAAGCTCAAGGCCACGAGCATCTCTCTTCTCGACCCCGCAGGGGCCTTCCTGATCCCCTACTTCTTGACGCTCATCTTTGCGGGGGTCCCGCTCTTCCTGCTGGAGTGCTCCCTGGGCCAGTACACGTCCATCGGGGGCCTGGGGGTGTGGAAGCTGGCCCCCATGTTCAAGGGTGAGTGTGCAGAGTGGAGCTGTGGGTTGTGGTCGTGCTCCTGCCCACAGCTCCGGGCCCTGGACAGAGGGAGCTGTTGGGTCACGTCTGAGCAGCGGGGAGCCCTTGCAGGGGCCAGGTGACCCATGGCAATGCTGGTCAGAGGAGGACCCAGTCCAGAGGCCCCGCACGCACGTCAGCCCGCCCTGCCCCGTGAGCTCATTTCCCCAGCAGGGGCTGGGCGCGACTTCCTCTGCTTCCTTGCTCAGTGCCTGACGGACACTCGGGTGGACACGTGCAGGGTCGTGCTTGCCTGGCAAGCCAAGGCCCCGGTCCGCCCTGCAACCAGCCTGTGCTGGGCCCCAGACGCAAGTCCTGGCTCCCTCGCTTGCCATGTGTGTGTGACCTTAGCCAAGTCCCTGCTTCTCTCCAAGTTCCAGTGACACTGTAGATGTCCTGGAAAATGACAACGATGACAGGAGCTGGGATGGTTATGATTCTTACTGTATTAAATGAAGGTCGTGATGATGTGTCTGGTCCCAGGTGTGGGCCTTGCCGCTGCTGTGCTGTCGTTCTGGCTGAACATCTACTACATTGTCATCATCTCTTGGGCCATCTACTACCTGTACAATTCCTTCACCACAGTGAGTGGCCCCTTGGACCACCCGCCCCCCAGAAGGAGCCAGACCCAGACCCCACCCTCCCTCTACTGGGACCACCGTTCCGCCGACAGGGCCATTCCTCCGGGTGGCGGGCGTGGTTTGTCTTCAGCAGCCCTTGTGTCCTCGTCATAGCACCATTCGCCCATATTATATAGACCCAGACAGCCTGGGTTCAAATCCTGACCCTAGTCTATACCAACTGTGCCGCTTCAGGAAAGAGACTTAACCTCTCTGAGCCACAGTGCCCTCATTTATAAAATGGGGCTTAAGGTAAAACTCACCTCACTTCATACGGTTGTGTGACGATTAAGGAGTAATATGTGTAAAGTGCTTAGAACCATACCCAGCAAAGAACAAACACTGTAAGTGTTCACTGGTAACTTCATCGTGCACAGGCTCAGACGGGCACGGTTACTTACCCAAGGTCACGTAGCTGGGAAGTGGCCCCAGGGTGGACACAGGAGACCTTATGGTACAGCTCGGAGAGCTGGTTTTCAGAGTGAAAAGGCTGAGGTTCAAATTTCAGCCCTGACATGTAGGAGCTGTGTGGTCTTGAGCAAGTTGCTGCCCCTCTCTGATCTCTAAAATGGGGCTCACAACATGACCTGCATCTGGAGCTGTTGGGAATGGGAGGTGAGGTAATGGCTGTGAGCAGGCTCAGAGGACTGTGAGGATGCACGGGATGTGCTGGGGCCACTGGGGCCAGCTCTTGGGGTCTTATGTGGTTTATCTGTGCCGCTGTGTCTTTGCAGACGCTGCCGTGGAAACAGTGTGACAACCCCTGGAACACAGACCGCTGCTTCTCCAACTACAGCATCGTCAACACCAGCACCATGACCAGCGCCGTGGTGGAGTTCTGGGAGTGAGTGCAAGGCCATCCCTGGGGGCGGCGGCGTATCACTCAGGGCCAGTGAGAGCAACAGCGAGCTATTCACTGCAAGATTTTAAGCAGGAAAGCGACGTGATCAGACATTCGAAGGGGCTGGAGTGGGGACAGAGCAGAAGTGAAGGGGGGTGGTCCTGCTGGGAGGCCGCTGCAGACATCCAGACATCCAGGTGAGCAGCCATGGTGGCAGAACTAAGTCACTGGCAGGTCCCTTGAGCAAACAGCACTTTCTCCCGATTAGTGTAACGGACCCGTGGTCCCCGCCCAGCTCTTGGAGCCCAGTGATCACAGCTATCAGCACCATCACGCCCTGGGCGCCCCCAGGTCACTCCAGCCCCCGCCAGCCCCACGTAACTTTGTCCACCCTCCGATGTTCCACCAGGCGCAACATGCATCAGATGACAGACGGGCTGGATAAGCCAGGTCAAATCCGCTGGCCTCTGGCCATCACCCTGGCCATCGCCTGGATCCTTGTGTATTTCTGTATCTGGAAGGGTGTTGGCTGGACTGGAAAGGTAAGAGGTGTGCACAGTGGGGACCCAAGGGGGTTGGGTCTACAAAGGGATCTCTGCTCTGGGTGAGGAGTCAATAGCTCCCAGGAACCCCATCCAGCTTTGACTTAAGCAGGTGCCTTCATCTCTCTGTGCCTCAGTTTCCTTTCCTGTAAAATAGGAATAATATCATTACCTACCTTCTGGGCAGTTTTAAGGATTAAAGGAAATACTGCAAGTCATGCTGTTAGTGCAGTGCCAGGCTCATGGTGAGTCCCTTGAGATCGAGATTCCCCTGGGCCGGGCAGAGCCATTGCAAAGCGGAGGGCAAATGTGGCTCCTGGACCATTTGACAAACCATCCCTGAGATCTACTCTGTTCCAAGCTTTGTTCTAGGTGCAGGTGATCCAGAGGTGAGCACAGTTACATCCCGGCCTTTGAGGAGGTAATAGAGATGGATTGGTTCATGGTTAAATACTCAGGCCCTGTGTTCAAACGGTTCTGACCCATCTTGGCCATTTATGTGGCTGTGTGACCTGGAACAAATCACTTTGCCTCTCTGAAACTCAGTGTCCTCTTCTGTAAAACAGGACCAATAACTGCTTATCCATTGGTTTGTTATGTGAATCAAATGAGCTGCTGATTTTGTGAAGAAATCAGAAGCTAGCAAGAGGAGTTGTTATTGTTTTTGTTTTTGGCAAAGGCAGAGCCGTGCCAAGCTGGGATGTCCAGCCTGGGGACACCTGGGGATTAAATTGCCAATCAGATTGGGGGTGAGGTGGGGACTGGCCTCACCCCCACCTCTTTCTGTTTTCAAGCCCCATCCCAGGAGTCTGGGGACAGAAGATGGCCAAGTCTCTCACTGGCCTGGACCGGAAGGAAACTCACAGGGCAAGGGTATTGTCTGAGGTCTTAGAGCAAGTAAGGGAAAGAAAGGAAGTGAACTGAATCCGGCTCAGACAGGGAGGTCCAGACTGCCCAAGAAGCTGAATCGAGCAAAACAGAACCTTAGTGAATTACATACTTGGGCACGGACCCAGCTAATGAGAAGCTGCCCGACTGCAGTCAGGTGGGACCTTCGGATCCACCGGGTTCTCAGAACCAAGGCCGCTGTCAAACATCTCTGCTTTGTCCCTAGGCTAGGTGAGCAGGAGGAGGGCACAGGTGTCTCCCAGCCCAACTTCAGGCAGCAGAAGAATGTAGGGCCCAAGGGCTTTGGAGGAGACAGAGCTGAATTTGAATGTCAGTCCCCTGGGCCCTAGCTGTGTGCACTTGGGCAAGTCACTTCACTTTCCCGAGCCTCAGTTTCCTCATCTGCTAAATGGTCACAATAATAGTGCCTTACAGGGTTGTCTCAAAGACTAAGTGAGATAATCAGTCTGCATAGAATGTAGAGCGTATGCCTAGCACACAGTCGGCGCTCATTACATGATGTCTATTATAATTATTTGTGGGTGGTACCTAAAGTTCCTGCTGCCTTAGGAGACTGACTACTTCTTGGGGACAGAGAGTAGAGCCCCTCTCACTGCATCTTTTGAATGAATCAACCAGTCTATCAATGAGCATTTACTGAGCTCCTACTGTATACCTGGCTCCATGCCAAAGACATAGATGACATGGATTAAGCATGTTGTATGTCCTCATACACCCAACCTGTCTGAGCAAAAAGGTTGATTGTACCCAGACAAGAAAAAGCTAGGTTCAGAGAGGATGAGAAATTGACCCAGTGTCACACAGCTTGTAGGTGACACAGATGGTTTTAAATCCCCTTTTCCTAATTCCAAGTACAGTGTTTTTTCTGCTGGATCGTGGCTGCCTTTCCTAAGCCTGAAGAGTCTCAGAGTCATCAGGGAGATGAGACTAACCCAGAGAACAATTCATGCTGACCGGGAAGTAGGGGCACATCAGACTTGGAGGTACAGAGGTTATTGAACTTGAAAATTGCTCTTTCACACTGGTGAGCAAAGAAATGCCATTTCAGACAGTGACGTCAGTCTCTTGATTATCAATTTAAAGTAATTTGTAAGGTGATTATCCTCATTGCTGGCCCCTTTGTAGGAAAGGCGCTGTCTGTAGTACTGGACGAAGTTCAGTTTCTGGGAGGTAATTAGGCAATGTGGATCAAAAAGCCTTGAGACGTTTATTCCTTTTTACTCAGTAATTCCACTTCTAAGAATTTTTCTCGAGAATAGTATAATTTTGTAGACAAAGTTTTATCTACAGGGTGTCCGGTGTAGTAGTACTGAGACTCACATAAAATTGGAAATAACCTGAACGGATAACAGTAGGGGAAATTTTAAAAAGGGTGGTGGGACCTCCTGAGGGACTGTTTTGTATAATTAAAAGTCACAGTGTATGAGACAGTAAAACAGCATTCAGTAAACGAAACAAGAAACAAAGCTGAACGTACTGTGTTTTTTAACTTTAAACATGTTAAATGAAAAGGCAAGTATATAATTTGTGCCTCATTTGTAAGAAAATGTAATCATATATGCAAAGGAAAGTCTCAAAAGAGAATATTAAAATATTAACATCCATGCACTTATGTATTTGTCAGGCAGTTACTGAGTGTCTACTACATACCATGGACTGTTCTAGGCACTGGGAAAATAGAGAAGTGAACACGACTAGTCCTGTCCCTCATGTAACTTGTATTCTACGGGCTGTTGAAAGGAACTCTAATTTGTGTGTGTATTCATATGTAATTTAAAAATTTCCTTGTCACCACATATATTATTTGAATACTTTAAATAAAAATTAAAAAATAGGAAGGGTAGGGAAAGGGGAAAAAATGGGCGCTGAGCTGGTTGATTCAGACACCAAGGAGCAGCTTCAGAAAAGTGGCCAAGAGGAGCAGGTTAGGAATCCAGGAAGGCTTCCTGGAGGAAGATGAATTGGAACCAAGCCCAGAGCCACAACAGGTAGGGATGTAGGTAAAGTGGTTAAGGAAAGCATGGGTGTGCTGGAAGGGGCGTAACCCTTCGCCCCCTTTCCTCCCAGGTGGTCTACTTCTCTGCCACGTATCCCTACATCATGCTGATCATCCTGTTCTTCCGCGGAGTGACGCTCCCCGGGGCCAAGGAGGGCATCCTCTTCTACATCACGCCCAACTTCCGCAAGCTGTCGGACTCTGAGGTGAGCGACCTCCCGACCTGGTCCTGGAGCGCCCCCCGCTGGGTTAAGAGCACATCTGAGTCCTGAGCCATCGTTTACCACCTTTAGGATAAGTTATCGCACCTCTCGGACCCGCTTATGTGAACTGGGGTTGCTGCCTGGGTAGAGCTGGTTAGCACATGTAAAAGGCCCTGGGGCGTTCCGGGCTATGATTATGACTTTGACGTTTTTTGTTTTTTTTTTAATCATTCTGCCTATAGGTGTGGCTGGATGCAGCTACCCAGATCTTTTTCTCTTATGGGCTGGGCCTGGGATCCCTGATCGCTCTAGGCAGCTACAACTCTTTCCACAACAACGTCTACAGGTGCTTCCCCGCGGCCACGCCCCTCCTAGACCACGCCCCTCCCTTGGCCTGTCAACTCCACCCATCTGTGGGCCAAAACCTTCTGGCCACTCCTTCCGGGGGGGTCGCGGGGGGAGGGGTCACACCAGTAGCTCGGCTCCCAGGTACCCTCCTCCGCCCGACCACTAGCTCAGCTTCCCGCCAGCGCCACCCTTCCTGACCCCACCCCTGCCTCTCTGCAGGGACTCCGTCATCGTCTGCTGCATCAATTCCTGCACCAGCATGTTCGCAGGATTTGTTATCTTCTCCATCGTGGGCTTCATGGCCCACGTCACCAAGAGGTCCATTGCTGATGTGGCGGCCTCAGGTCAGCACCGCACTGGGGAGGGCTGGGGGGAGGGGCTAACCCCGCGGACTTTGTACATCTTCATCGCTGTCACCATCATCACCACCGTGGCTCGCTGGCGTTGAGTGTCCCTACCTGCCAGCAGTGCCCTGAGTATTCACATGGACAGTGTCCCTGAATCTTCCCAACCCTATGGGGTCAGTGCTCTTGTTATCCTCATCCCATAGGTGAGGAAACCGAGACTCACCAAGGTCCCCTACCCAAATTAACAGAGCTCAAAGGTGGTAGGACTGGAGTTGACCCCAGACCTGGCTGGTTGCAAAGCCAGGCCGTTCTGGCACCTCCAGCACGATCCTGGACATTTGGGGGGAGCAGACCTACTCTTGTCCCCTGGGTTATCACCTTCGGTCCAACCCAGACACCTTCACCATCGTGACTCAAAGCGCCCGCATCAGTGCTTTTGTCCCAGTTCCAAAAAGGTTCTCACCGACTGGGCGGTGCCCACTCTGCTCTGCACACAGTCATCCATGCCACAGGGTCCAAGGACAGCCCCAGGCACACCCCCTTCCCTGCTCAAACACGGGGGACCCACTGTGTGCTCAGCAGAGGCTCAGGGAGGCAATGTGACCTGTCCCTTCTCTGTCGTGGGGAGCTGGGCGTGTCGTGTGGAAAGGAACATTCCCCTCCAAGGGCTTGCTCTCCCCTGCATGGGCAGCGCAGCATCTCATTTCTCTGGAACTTCCCAGCCAACCCCCTTTCCAGAGCCAGACCCCAGAGAGGTTACGGTCTCTTTCTTTTTTCCACGGTTTTCCCTGATCTCCTGAATACCCACCCCCAGACACTCACAGTGTCCCAAACTCCTCAAGCCTTCTCCTACCCTGTTCTCCCATCGTAGCAAAGGGTTCCAGTGTCTAGTGCCCAGGCCAGGCCCCCAGCATCATCCTGGACCCTTCCTTTGTCTTCCCTCGCAAACCAACCAAAACCAGGGCCTGCCCACTCTGCCTCCTGAGTATCTCTCCATCCGGCCCCCCGTCTGCGCCTGCACTGTCCCCAGTCCCCACCGCTGGCCAGGTCACTGCACTCCCTCCTCTTATCTCACTGGTCCCCTTGCCTCTGAACCCAACTCTGTAGCCTCCTGCCTCCCCCTTCCTCAGCCCCTCCCCCCAGCTGTTTCCTTGTCTGGAAAAGGAGGCTGATAACACTCACCGAAACGTTTCCTCTGAGGATGAGATGAAATAAAGCTCAGGAAGTGGGTGCGCTGGGGATGCCGCAGGGGCTCAGCGCCTTGTATTTTTTCCTCTTCTGCCCTTCCTGCCACAGGCCCTGGGCTGGCGTTCCTGGCATATCCGGAGGCGGTGACACAGCTGCCCATCTCTCCCCTCTGGGCCATCCTCTTCTTCTCCATGCTGCTCATGCTGGGCATTGACAGCCAGGTGAGGTTGCCCTCCCTGGCGCCTTGAGGAGCCCCCACCCAGCCTCACTGGTCCAGGACCAAGCAGGGAGAGGAGCCCATTGTCTTAGGCCCCCTAGAAGCTGGCCAAGAGTTTCAAACCCTCGGGATGTTCTACCACATGACACTTCAGGGATCAGCTCAGCTACCTTCTCCATTTTCCAGATGGGGAAACTGAGGCCCAGGGGGAAGGGATTCTCCTGAGGTCACAGAGGGAGGCAGAGGGAGAGTCAGGCCTGGAACCCAGGGTTCCCCTGGCCCTGCCGTCCCCACAGGGTGAGGTTTTGGGTGGGTGGGGCTGGGGCTGCCTGGGGTGGCTGACCTCTGCCCCCCGCAGTTCTGCACCGTGGAAGGCTTCATCACTGCCCTGGTGGATGAGTACCCCAGGCTGCTCCGCAACCGCAGGGAGCTCTTCATTGCCGCCGTCTGCATCGTCTCCTACCTGATCGGCCTGTCTAACATCACCCAGGTGAGCGCGTCAGCACCTGGCACACCTCTGCTGCTGCCTGCCCGGGGCCACTCCCAGGCCCTCTGTGCCCCAGCCTTGTCCCATCCCACCTTTCATTTTGGTGGACAAGACTGACATGCAAATTAGATCATTAAATGCCATGAAGAACAGAGGATAGTGGGACAGAGAATGAACAGCAGGGGTGGGAAGGACGATGCCTTGGACAGAGTAGTCAGGGCAGTCCCTCTGAGGAAGTGGCATTTCAACTGAAACTCACATGGCGAGGAAGAGTCAGCCAGGGGAAGATCTAGCTAGGGGAGGAAAGCACAGCAGGTGCAAAGGCCCTGGGGTGGGAATGGGCTTGGCAAGCTTGAGGGACAGAAAGAAGGCCAGCGTGGTAGCGACAGAGGGAGTGGGGGAGTAGGTAGTGGATGCAGAACCAGATCATGCAGGACCTTCCAGGGTGGGCATTTGGATTTTATTTTATTTTATTTTACTTTATATCTCTTTACATTTTATATATTACATTACAGTCTTATTTAAGCTATGGAAGAGCTTCTGGAGAGAGACATGACTGGTTTAACATTGTGAACAGATGGCTCAGATGACCAGCTCCTCTTTCTGCCCTCCAGCCCTCCCAGAAATGGGACATTTCCCTCCGCCACCTGGGCATTTTCTTCCCATTCCCCAGAGTCCATGCCCACATCCTTGCAGGGTCACAAAGACCTCTGTGCTTCCTCTAATCTACCCTCAAGCCTTCTTGATGCAGTGTAGCCTAATCCCAACCCACACAGCCTGTGTTGACCGTGAACTGAATGCACTGGTCCCCAGGGGAAGTGGACCCTCTCTCACCTCTTTTGCTTTCACAGGGGGGCATTTATGTCTTCAAACTCTTCGATTACTACTCCGCCAGTGGCATGAGCCTGCTGTTCCTCGTGTTCTTTGAATGTGTCTCCATTTCCTGGTTTTATGGTAAGCACCAACCCCTCCTCCCTCCCTCCCTCGTTCCTCTGTTCATTCATTCATTCATCCCTTTCTTCAGTCATCATTCAGTAAATACGACTTGAGCACCAGGCCCTCTCCATACATTAATTTATTCGGTCCTCGCCGCAGTTCGATGAAGTTAGCACAGGACGTCCCATGTTTAGAAGATACCATAAGAAGAAGAGTTAAATAAACTCATTTAAAATGGGAGTCAAAATTTCTTCATAAATTTTGCCATAAAAGACTTGTTTGAGATTTTATCTAGAAAAAGGAAACTGAAACTATAAAGAAGTTCTAAAGTTAAATATTTTTTAAAAGCTAAGCTCTAATTAAGAGTATGCACTATCTCAGAATGTAGGACATGATGATTTTTATGTGTTGATTTTGTGGGCTGTTTCCCGACCCAACTGAAAAGGCTGTCCTTCCGGGCACTTCGGTTGCCACAGCAAGATGATGTTTTTGGAAGAAGTGTTCTCCAGAGTCCCTCTGGGTCCTTGCCATTCTGTGTATGTTGTTGGTAGTCCTGCCACCTCACCCTTCCTCATCATTTTCTTCTTGCTTTCTAACTGGTCTAGCGCTGTCAGGTCCTCACTGTCAGTGACTTTGCCGGTGATCTGAGCGGTGCCCAGTGCCCAGTGTCACTCTCATGAACTTCAGGACATCTGCAGTGGTTTTTGTTTGTTTGTTTGTTTTGCAAGATTGGCAGTTCTTCTTTGCAATTTGCAATCTATCACCAGTTGCTTATGTATCAGATCAGCAGGGAAAACCACCCCTGCCCAGCAAAGCTTTGAAGGAATGGCTGGGAGAGATGTTGGGTAGGAGGGACACTGAGAGTGACGGGGATGCTTTTTGTAAGTACATCCTTTTGTTGGTGGATGTTTTCACATTCAGGTGACTTGCTTTCCCATACAGCTCGTTTGCTGGGGGATTTGGTTGTTGAATCCTTAGCTGATAAGGACCCCCACCCCCACCCCAGAGCATTAGCCCCATGTTACAGATGAGGAAACTGAGGCTCAGAGAGGTTAGCTGACTTGCCCGTGGTCACACTGTGAGAAAACAGCAGGTCGGGGCCTTGAGCCTGCAGTCCCCACGGCTCGCCCATCCCTCCTGCTCTTGCTCCAATTGTCACAGGTGTCAACCGATTCTATGACAACATCCAAGAGATGGTTGGCTCCAGGCCCTGCATCTGGTGGAAGCTCTGCTGGTCCTTCTTCACCCCCATCATTGTGGCGGTAAGGGCAGGGCCAGACTGGGCCCTGGGGTGACTCAGGTCGAGAGAGACACTTCTGGAGCCAAAGGCCAGGGGAAGAGGCCCACAGACCTCTGTTCCCTAGGAATACTATTCTCTCATTTGTGCTGAGCATCGACTCTGTGCCCTGCATGGTACCAGACGCGCAGCAGCGTCCTCAAACACCAGCACAGTAGCGTTATTGCCCCACTTGACTGCTGTCGGTACCGGGGCTCACCAGCCAGCGTCACCCAGTGGGCTGGTGCTAAGTTCAAACCTGATTCTGAAGCCAAGCCAGTCACTCGGGGAGGCCTCTTATCCTCAGCATCCCTCATTCCCTCCTGCAAGGGGAAGCCGAGGCACGAGCAGGCCTGGGAGGGGCTGCCCAGGTCCGTGCAGTGAGGCTGGGCCACCGCATATGTTGTGTCCTGCACAGGGACACTCAGCCAATGGCCGACTGGGGGTGACCTCCCACCCTTGTTCTGCTTGACAAACTGGTTAACCTGGAGGAGGGGATGCCTTTTTCTGTTGGTCCTCCCGGAGAAGCTACCTTTTGCTATTGGTCCTTCCAGAGAGGGCACCTTCTTCGTATTGGCTCTCCCAGAAGGGATGCCCTTTTCTATTGGTTGCCACTGAGAAGGCACCTTTTTCTGTTGGTCCTCCCGGAGGCAGTGGCTTCTTCTGTTATACACAAAGGCACCTTATGTCCTAGCAGTGGCCTTGGGTGCAGGATTCCCAAGATGCTGGGCCCTTGTGAGGGTCAGCCCCAGGGCAGGGGTAGAGGGCAGTGGACCTTATCAGCTGCAGGGTCTAGGGAGGGGCCTTGGCAGTCCAGCCTGGGTGACTGCCTGCCCCCCTCCTCTCTCCTGTCCCTCCCCAGGGTGTGTTCATTTTCAGTGCTGTGCAGATGACCCCTCTCACCATGGGAAGCTACGTTTTTCCCAAGTGGGGCCAGGGTGTGGGCTGGCTCATGGCCCTGTCTTCCATGGTCCTCATCCCGGGGTACATGGCCTACATGTTCCTCACCTTAAAGGGCTCCCTGAAGCAGGTAAGTCCCTTCTTCACCCTTATTGTTGTTGCTGGGCCCCTTCCCCACTCTGTTGGGCACCACGCCTACGCTGGTGGAGCACAGTCTATTTGGGGAGACAGACAAGTTGATAGCCAGTGAAAGTAGAGTGTCCGAGGTCACGATTGGGGTGAACCAGGGAGACATCCTCCTGCATTGTGGAGGGTTAGAGAAGGCTTCCTAAAGAGGGGACAGCAAAGAAGAGGACTAAGGACTAGCCAGACTTAAAAGTAGAAACAGGGGGGAAAAGAAAGATACAAATGAAGTTATTTACAGAACAGACGTAGACTTACAGGCATAGAAAACAAACTTATGGTTACCAAAGGGAGATAAATTAGGAGGTTGAGATTAACATATACACACTACAGGGCTTCCCTGGTGGCGCAGTGTTTGAGAGTCCGCCTGCCGATGCAGGGGACACGGGTTGGTGCCCCGGTCCGGGAAGATCCCACATACCGCGGAGCGGCTGGGCCCGTGAGCCATGGCCTCTGAGCCTGCGCGTCCGGAGCCTGTGCTCCGCAATGGGAGAGGCCACAACAGTGAGAGGCCCGCATACCGCAAAAAAATCAACAACAACAACAACAAAATATATATATATACACACTACTATATATAAAATAGATAAACAACAAGGACATACTATAACACAGGGAACTATACTTAATATTTTGTAATAACATATAAGGGAGAAGAATTTGAAAAAGGATGTGTGTGTGTATATATATATATATATATATATATACATATATAGATATAAAACCAAATCACTGTGCTGTACACATGAAGCTAACATAAAATCAACTCTACTTCAGTTTTTAAAAAAATAAATAAATAATAAAAGTAGAAGCAGAGACAATGTTCCTGGAAGGGGATGGGAAGCATGTGCAAAGTCCCAGGGGTATAAACTGATCAGTGAGGCTGGAGGGTAGAGTGGGGAGGGGTGCAGGGAGGTGATAAGACATGAGGCTGGGAATGTAAGAAGGCTGGACCAGATCATGAAGGGCTTTGAAAATCAGGACAAGAACTTTGGACTTTATCCTGAGTTTATCCAGTGGCAAATGGGGAGCCGTTGAGGTTTCAGAGCAGGTAGGGGTGGGATCAGATATGTTAAGAGCTTAACTCTAGACCTCATGTAAGGCACGCTGCCCCAAGCAGGGACCCACTGGCATATGCGAGGTCCACGTCAGCTCTTTGTTAAATTATATTGAATTCTTGAGTGAAACAAGGCAGTGCTGGAGGTCCAGGTGCTGAGACACTGATGAAGTAAGTGTAGCCTGGGGAGATTTCACTGAGGAGGTGGAAGGCCACAGCTGGGAGGACCTAGATCTGTGACTCTCAGCCTTATTCCCCACCAAGATGTCCCTGCCAGACACACTCAGAGCCAGAAGGAGGGTCTGTAAGGTCTGCATCATAGGGGTGGTGTGTTGTACACAGCCCCCGGAGTTGCTGGGCCAGCCTCCTCCCTTCACAGAAAGAGCACATGAGGAGCCGGGTGGGGAAGCTGCTTCCCCATCCCTTGCAGTCAGGTATTAGCAGGGCTTAGCAGGGCTGGGGCCTTACAGCCCTTTCTTCCAACTCCAGGTCCAACACTTTTGTTTACCATGATTCGCTGCTGTGTCTCAAAAGGTAGTCAGGTCTGAGAGTGGCAGAGAGGCAGAAGGGGTGCATTTGTGGAAGGGAGCACAGCCTGTGCAAAGGCCCAGCGGTGGGAAAGGGAAGACTCGTCTGAGGACAGTGCGCTGATGGGGCAGGATGGCAGGGCGGGTGTGCAGAGAAGGTGGGGAGGTTGCACCCCTTTAGCAAACATGCATTGAGCACCTGCTATGTGTCAGACGCTATTGTCAGTGCTGGGGACACAGCCATGAGCAAAATCCTACCCTCATGGACCTTACATTCTGAGAGAGGAAGATCAGCAATTAACAAAATAAAGTCACGTTTGATGGGGATGAGGAATATGGAGAAAGAGGGTGTAGGGGGTGCTGGGCAAGGCCTTGCTGAGGAGATAACGCTGAGCCAAGACCTAAGGAGATAGAGACTGAGCTGTGTCACTGTCTGAAAGGGGTGTCCCTGGAGAGGGTACGGCAAGTGCAAAGGCCCTGGGGCAGGTGCTTGCTTGGTGCTTGTGAGGAGCAGTGAGGAGGCCAGTGTGGCTGCAGTGTAGAGAGCAAGGGGCTGAGGGGAGAACACTGAGGTCTGCGGTGATGGGCGCCAGATCCTGTGGGGCCTTGTAGGACTTTGGTGAAATGGGAGCCCTTGTGGGGTCCTGAGGAGCAGAGGGATGTGGTCCCCCTCTGGCTGGGGTGTTGAGAGTAGAATGAAGGGGATGAGGGGCAAGAATGGAAGTGCAGGGCTGGGGGCAGTTACTGCAGGGACCCAAGTGAGAGGGAGTGGGTGTGGCCCAGCAGAGCTTTGGAAGGTGTGCAGGAGGGGGCTGGCACCTGGGAGCACCTCGCAGGCAGAACAAACAGGGGAGACTTGAGAAGAGGGTGGGCCAACGAGAGGCCAGCCCCCCTCCATCCCAGCCTGAATCCTCCCGCTGTCCACAGCGCATCCAGGTCATGATCCAGCCCAGCGAAGACATTGTCCGCCCCGAGAATGGTCCAGAGCAGCCCCAGGCCAGCGGCTCCGCCAGCAAAGAGGCCTACATCTAGGGGTGCAGGGCGGCTCGCCCACCCACACTCTCACCCCGACCCTGGCTGCACACGACCACCACTTGATGTCTGAAGATACCGTCTATCTCAACCTACCTCGAGTGGCGAGTCCAGACACCATCACCACGCAAAGAGAGGGAGGTGGGGACAGTCACACCCCCGTGGGCCCCGCCGTGGGCAAAGAAGATGCCCGATGGCTCCAGCACCTGCGGGCTGGTGACCTTTTTAATCTGGGCCCCATCAGCATCAAGCAGTTCGGCCTGTGTGACCGCTGTGATAGATCATTTTTATCCCGCCAGCGAGTGTGATGTGGAGAGGCCGCACACTCCTGGCTTTTAGTTGTATTCCTGACTGTTCTCTTACTGCCGAAACCCATGACTGTTATCTCGGACTTGGCAGGAGTTCGGTTCCGTCGGAACACTGCTCTGTGCACATGAAAAGGGCATTTTGTATAATGGACATTTCCAGGGAGAGCTCACTCTTAAGAGCAGAGAGCCAGCAGAGCTCTTTCATTTTTTGGTTTTCTCCTTCCCGAGGCAGCTTGACAACCCCCAGCCCCTTCGGTATTCCCAGAACTGTTTTCTCAAGCACTCCGCCCAGTGTCCTGTTTCCCTGCCGCCGGCGGAATGAGCATCTGTGCACTAAGCTTTCCTGGCCCCCCCGCCCCCCCACTTCTCACCACGCCATTCTGATTGCGCCTGGCCCAACAGCGATCGCTCCCGATGGGCGCTGCTCCTCGGAAAACTGCCACAAGCACAACTGATTTTTTTAATCACCATTCCGGCGACCTCAGATCCCGCTGGGGAAATTCCCTAATCAGGAGCCCCAGTTTCTCCTAGGCTGCCCGGCTTTGCAGAGCACCGAACAGTTGCAGAGGAAATCAAAGTGAGGCTCCGTCCTTGAGGCAAAGTGGATCCAGCGATCTTTCTGTCTCCTTCTTAAAACGTCTCCCTCACTGCAACCCCAGTCAAGGCTGCTGCCCTCTCCCCTTCCCTGAAGTCCCCCAGTGAGAATCTCCTCACTGCCACTAAAACCTGCCAGCCCAGTAAATGAGGAGCTAGTGTTAATCCAGACCTGCCCCGCCACGTGCTTCCGAGATTAAAGCTGCTTCGTTGGGAAGTAGTATTTGTTCCGTTCCAGAACTGGGCTCCACAGTGGTGGCAGCAAATCGGGTGAAGACAGTTTCTTGCAAGCTCCAGCAACTCAGCGCTTCTCATTTGCCAGGAACATGGGTTCCCATGTAGCAAATCGTATGTTGTGCCCTGTACTCCTTAGCTAGTTAACTCACGAGTTGTGTTTTACGACTAATCCTTAATAACTATGGTAAATAACTGTGACTGTGGGTCTTTTAATCTGTCATCCTCGTCCAGAAGTGACCAGCATACCAGTTCTTGCAATAAGGTATTACCCTCAGAATATTAAGCACATTCTTGTAGAGAAAAAACAAAAAGTCTGTGTACACATATAAATGCACACATATGTACATTCCTCCTCATGCTTGGTACATAGGGTCTCATTTGATATTGTGTAGGAAATCTAAAAGCTTTTCCTGAAGTCATCTGTAAAATAGTCTCATTACTAAGGCATCCCAAATGCCAACTGGTGAATCCAGGATCAAAATGCATATGTATTGTTAAATTATAGGGTTTAGAACAAAAGGAACCCTTCACTGTGTCTCATGGTCCCACCCCCCATCCTTTGTGTGAATTCCTTTAGAATAAGGGCAGGAAGACTTCTAACTTTCTCTTTGTTCTTCATTCTGAAACTAAGAACAAGTCTTTCGAAGACAAATGCAGCATATTTAATGTTTGTAATCAAATCTAAGTGAGATGTTTGGCACGAAATCCCTTAACTGATTTCCATCCAAACCTACTTATATAGCACAATATTATGTGTCGTACAATTACTGTGAGAACTGTGAATATGTGTAACTTTTTTTAGTATTTGCCCTGGGGAGGGAAAGATATTGTATTATCATATATGCTTTTTTTTGCAATAAGGATTTATTCTCAGAACACCAAGTAAATCTATCTCTATATTAAAAAATATATGTAATATATACATATTCAAACTATATACAGAGCCTGTTTTAAAAAAAATTACAGTATTATTTAGTAAAATTATCTGTTCTATGGACCAAATGTAAAATATTTATACATGAAGATGCATTTTAAATGTCTATAAATGGTGTTATAACTAGAGCACGGGCGTTATGTACGTTTCTAAGAATATAGAGGAAAAATAATAAAGGTTCTATGATATCCAATGTCAGACCTTCAGTTCTTTGGGGTGGGGGTCACAATAGCCTCTTTCATCAAAACAGCGAGAGATACACACAAAACGTTTTTCCCCAACAGAGAGAGATTTGGGCTCAAAATCCAGGGACATGGAACTGGACTTCCCCAGGAGTTTTGGAATGAGTGGATAGAAAATGATTCTGAGCCACAGAAGGGAGGTGCTTTCACTGTTCTAAGAGACTTAAATGTGGTCAACTAAATGAAGGTCTAAAACTAGGATAATAGGAGCACATTAAGTTAACAGCATTCATTCCCTCGTGATTCATTCCTCAAAATATTTAATTTTAAAATCTTATTTAAAATTTGAATTCTACAGAGAAGTTGTAAGAAAGGTTCAACAATCACCCAGGTTCACCAGTTTTTGACACGTTGCCACCTTAAGTCTGTCTGTCAAGGTTCAGTCTGGGAAGCAGGACCACTATGAGTATTATGGAATAAGGCGTTTATTAGAGGAACAAGCCTTATACAGTTGTGGGAGAAGGTAGGAAGTAACGGTCTGAAAGAGAGAGTTGGGAGATCAGAGGAAAGTCACTAACCAGGTGAGCAGGAGAGGTAGGAGTGGGCCTGGTACACATCAGTGCTCAGATGGGGCCATTCTGATGACTGGCTTTGTGAGTGCCCACGATAGCGCCAGCAGGTTACTCCCCTCTCGGTCCTGGCAAACCATCCCTTTCATGGTCCTCCGTAGACCCTCCACCCGGGACGCACCTCAGGCTCGCTGAGCTGTTGTGGGGCTGCTTGGGGGAGCTGCCCTGTGGGCGGTTGGCCGTGGGGATGGTCACAACAGTGATGATGATAACAGATCCATTGTGGTTCCACTAAGCAGCAGGCCCTGCACCAACTCCTCCCAAGCATTTTCTCAGCTGACCCTCAGGACACCCCCATGATGTGTCGGTGCTCTCTCACTCTCGTGCCCTGGCCTCACCCCTGCTCTGGCTCCCTTCCCGTTTCCGTTTTTTGTGCGCACCAGCTCCGATATCCACCACCTCCACTCTGTGCCACAAACGTGGCTATTACCTTTTATAATGGGAAATACATAACAAATGGTATTTAACAAGAAAACCCACAAAGCCACGTGGGCTTGCCAGTGTGGAGGCGGACAATTTACTGACAAGAACATCTCATCATGATGCACATACATTTAAGGACTGTGAATATTTTGCCCTTGAAGGAAAGTCTTGTGCTAAAAAAAATGCTAATGGGGACATGGAGCGGGGAGCCCAGCCATGATGAAGACAATAACATCATAACACCGATCAAGGAGAAATCAGGGGCTCCGGAGACCTGCTTGCTGGAGGTGTCCCCTGATGTTTTCAAGGAGATTTGTTGGTGTTTTCCTTGAGGTTTGGGTCTGCTCAGGTCTGAAAGAAGAAGACACCAAAGACAGAGCTAGAAGTGCAAGAGATCTGAAGGGGGAGGTAAATGTCTTTAAATGGTACAGGGGAGAAAGGACAGGAGCCAGCAGGGAAACACTTGGGCACCTGTGCCAGGAGACAGAGAAGGAAGGAGGCTTGAGTAGGAGGAGCCTCAGACTATGGGGCAGGGCTGGGATGGTGTCAGCCAGACCAAAGGACAGCCCCAGTGCCACGGCTGTCATGAAAGGAGCCCCACATGGAGAACTGCCCAGGCCACAGCACCTCCACCATGCTGGGTCCTGACTGGGCTGCCAGGGGAAGGTGGACTTGTGCAAATGCTACAGCCCCTCAGCAGTTCTCCGGGAGTGCAGGGACAAGGAGAGGGTGTCTACATTTCTGAAGGCCTTCTGCCTGCCCAGCACTTTCTCCTGGAATGCTGCTTACTCCCCACCACCGACCTGCAAAAAGGTGCAGGCCATTATTTCCATTTATAGATGAGTATGCTAAGGCTCAGAGAGGGACAGCAACTCCCCCAAGGCCACACAGCTCTAAGTCACAGGACTGGACACGACAGCAGTCTACTTGGGCAGACAAATGCACAAGGCACCGGCCCCATCTCAAACTTTCTGATGCAGGAAATCATTCTGATGCAGGAAGTCCACAGGTGCTGGAGCCATCGGGCAGGGGCTCAGGAATTGCCTTCTAAAAAGCACTCCAAGCCTTTCTGAAGGAGAAAGTTGGTAGCCAATCACATCAAGAAACATTGTTTAAAAGCATCTAGGAACCCAAATCGAGGGACGTTTTACAAAACAACCGACCTATGCTCTTAAAAAAATGTCAAGGTCATAAAAGACAAAATGGAAGAGTTTCAGATGAAGGAGATATGACAACTGAATGCAATGCCTGATCCTGAATTAGACACTGGGCCAGAAGAAAAAAAATTTTTTTCTTTTGCTATTAAGGGCATTAGTGGGACACTAGGTGAGATTTGAATAAGATATGTAGATTAGATAATAATATTTTATCAGTGTTAATTTCCTGATTTTGATCAATGCATTGTGGATACGGAAGAGAATGTCCTTGCTTTTAGGAAATATTCAGGGGTGAAGGAATACCTTGTCTACAATTTATTCTCAAATGATTGAGGAAGAATCACTTACACATATGTGGTGTGTGTGTGTGTGTGTGTTGTATGTGTCGAGCGGGAGAGTGATGAAACAGGCAAATGTGGAGAAATAACACCTGAGGAATCTGCGTGAAGGTTGTACAGAAACTCTTTATACTAGTTTTGCAACTTCTAAGCGTGAAATTATTCAAACAAACAATCTAGGAAGGGCCTGGGTGTCACTTTCATTTGATTAGCGCTGTACAGGGCTGTGGGGATGGGGGTTCCTGCCGGGGTGAGAGGGGCGGAGAGATGGACACAGTCTTTGGTTTGGACCAGGACCACTCCTCACTCATGCACTCCCACGGCTGTAATTGCCCCTCTTCTCCTGGAAAGCCTTCAGGTCTCAGCCCAGAAGTCACCTCCTTGGATCCTACCAGGCTCACCACCTCCTAGGCTGCGTGGGGGGCCCCTCGCTTCCGTCAGAGCTGCGGGGCAGAGTCCTCCCCTCTCTGCTCACGCACTGTCTCCCCACCGGCCCATGAACCTCTGGGGGCCGGAGGGGAGTGGCTGTGTCTCATGGATCTTTGGGTCCCTAGTCCTGGCATGAAGTTTATCACACGCCAGTGCTCAAAAGAGATCCGCTTTTGGTTTCTGATTCCTGAAATCCAGCATTTCACAATACACACTAGCTAATTAAGCCCTGCCTAGCCTCTATCTCATTAATACCCACAAAACCTATAAGGTACTGACCCTTTCGAGTCGGGCCCTAACAAGGGTCCTCCTGCCTGGTGTTGTTCAAGCCAATAGAACGAGACCCAGTTCAGCTCATAAGCAGAGGAAAGCTTTCTTCTTTGACCAAAGCCTGGAGAGGTACGAGCTCGCTCTAGTGCGCGTGCTCGTCCCCACAGACCGTGGGCGGGGCTGCTTCGTAGGGAATCTCCTGGGTGGGGGAGGGGAGGAGGCGGAGTTGTCACGGGGCTCTGGGCTCCAGGTCGCAGTGCGGGGCGCAGTGCCTCTGCACACAGCCCGCAAGCGGAGGTGTCGGCGCCGCCATTTTGTACCAGTAACTCTTCTCTGACGAAGTGTCTGCATGCAGCGCCCTCTGAGCAAGTGAAGCTAGACAAAGCACAGAGGAAAAAAAAAGAAAAACGGTTAGACTTGATTTTATTACCCAGATTCTATTTTTATTTCCCGGGCATTGTTAATGGGCTTTGCTGGTGACAAATCCCCCCTGTGTCGTGCGTCCTCCTCCTCATTGTCGAGGGGCGCTGAGGGGCCCTGGCTCATCTTCTGTGGCTGCTTCCTGCTGGTTTGGGGCATCATGATAGCCCCGGTGGAGGCGCGGAACTGCTCCGCGGCTGCCTTTAGGTACGTTTGGTTGCTCCCAGGCCTCAGCCCTGACTGTTCGCATCCCTGAGCGACCCCCATTTGTCTAACCTTTTGGAGACAAAGGACACCAGACAATTTAAGATCCGTGGCCCAAATATTAGCAAGAGAATAATGGTCACATGTCAAGTTTTTCCTGAAAATACGGGTCTCTCAGTCTTTGGGCCGTGGGCGAGCGTGCCTTGACGTCGAGGCTCTGCTGGGGCTGAATCTCTCTGGTCGCACTTCGGTCGTTTTTCGGAAGAGAAGCTTCAGCTCAGAGAGAGGTTCCCCCAGGTAGTCGATGGGCCGTTGCTCCAGGTTGTCTCTGTGGAGGTTGGGGGGTCTTTTCCCTCAAGTGTGAGGCACCCATGGAGTGATCTCTGTGACTTCCGGTGTGACGGGTTGTTAGGGTCACCGAGTGGGGTCCATCCGCTTAGGGGCGAGCTGGGCTGGCGGGCCGCCGGTTTTCCAGGGTTTTAGGTGCACTTGGTCTCCTGGCCGGATGGGCTGGGGGCCTGGTGGGTGGGTGCGGGCAGCACCTGGTCACCATATTCCGTGAGAGCTTCCTGGTTTTTTCTACCTGGAGGGCACACTTGGGTTGTTCCATTTCAAGGAGGTTAAGATGCCCCATCTCTCGGGCTTGGAGAATGGGTCTACCGTACATGACTTCAAATGCACTTAACTTTAACTCATCCCTCGGGGCTGATTGCACAAGGAGCAGGGCAATCAGAAGCAACTTAATCCAATTTTCTTGAGCTTCCTGACATAGCTTGGCTAAGGCCCATTTCAGGGTCTGATGGGATCTCTCACCGTTCCCCGGTGACTGAATGAAAGGTCCATCCTTTGCCCAGGGCACTCATTATCCCCTTTGTCACTTCAGACACAAATGCTGGACCTTTATCACTTTGTAGGGATCCTGGGAGCCCAAACCTGGGGGTTATTTCTTTTAATAATGCCTTAACCACTTCAGCTGCCATTTCAGCTGTGTCTACTAGCACCGAGAGATACCTGAAATTGGCCGGTGCCCTCGGCCCGACGGTGCAGTGAATCTGCCTGTCTTCTCCAGGATATGTTCCTCTGGTCTGAATGGGCCTTATCTGGGGGCCTCTTGGGGGTCTTGTGTTGGGGGTGTTACCTA